TTGCTTCTGGCTAGACATAAGGAAAAACTTCTTTACAAGTTGAGTGCTGTGGGTTTGGAATAGGCTTCCCCAGAGGTGATACAATCACCCACCCTGGCAATCTTCAAAAAGCGTCTTAACACCCATCTTGCTGGGGTCATCTGATCCCATCAGTCTTTCCTGCCCAAGTGCAGGGGGACTGGACCCGATGATCTGTAAAGTCCCTTCCATGCCTGAACAACTATGAAATTAGGATTTTTAGTTAGCAAAAAGTTCACCCACTGGATTTACAAAAACCATGACAGTTAGGTAGTTTAAATTCAGATACTTGTTTTGAAACATAAATGGAGTTTCATAACACACTGGGCCAGATCCTGAGCTAATATAAGTGTTTCAGCACTACAAAACTCTCACTACTACTAAAAGTACATTGACTTTGTACCAGCTGCGTGTCTGATGTTCTACGTGAAATGGCTGCTGAAATTACATTTTTGTTTCATTATTTTGCACAAAAAATTAAATATTATGTAGTTCAAAGCTCTTTGGGTAAAAAAAATAATAATTCTAATTTCAGGAGCTGATAACCACATTATACATTGGATTTCTGGGCCTGATCTTTTCCTCTTATTTTGTGTATCTGGCTGAAAAAGATGCTGTGAATGACACAGGAGAAATAGACTTTGGCAGCTATGCGGATGCCCTATGGTGGGGAGTTGTAAGTAATAGTACATTTTTGCAGTTTCTAATAGCAGTTAACATCCTGAAGTCTATATAGATGTAGGAAAATTCTAGCAACAGCAGCAAAGGTTAAAGTAACCTCTTATTACTACAGTAGAGTCTTTTGTTTTCTTCTTGTCATGTTAGGCCAAGATGCTAGTGCAGAAACAGCAGCTTGCAGATATATTTTTTAAACTAGTCAAACAATTAAGCTGCTGTGTAATGGAGTGTTCTTATTGCTTTACCACACTCAGTTTATGCTAGCTCTGTATTGTTGGTTGCTACTTCCATGAACAAATCTAGGGTTTTGAAAAACCGGGATACAGACAGTATTGTGCATCATCACATGTAACACAACACATTTTTTTCCAAGTAAAAAGAAACTAGATTCTATACTAATGTGCTAGGAGCCTAGGCCTATATTATTTAGTTTAAGATCAATGCAAAGGGAAATATAACTTTATTCAAATATGCATAATTTGCTGTATCATATATCATGGCTTAAAAATACAACAAACTAGGCAAAAATAAACAAAAGATGTTGTTTCTTTAGTCCTATAGTCATTAGAATGAAATGTATGTCTTTTAGGTCCATAAAACAAAATCAGGACTTCTTGAGCATCTTGGCAGTGCATCCAATGTTTCACTGAAAGTTATTTCTACACCTGAGTTAATGTTTGCCCGAGTTAATTTTTCCACACTTGAGTTAATGTTTTTAGCTAGTATTAAAAAAACAGTCTGTAGGGCTGTGAAATGGGAGTTACATTACCAGGAGCAGCTAACAGATGGCAGAATTGCAGAAGAAAGGATGGCTCAAGTAGTTGGGAATCTTAGCTCTAGTTAGCTCCCATACTGACAGTTTGAATAAAATATTTCTGTGGCATGTTTTGATGAAGGCAAGAATCAGAATTAGGCCTTCTGATTCCAGTCTTGTCTATTTAGCTGTCCCAGTAAATGTACCGATTTGTTCATCCCTACTAGTGATGATCCTCTCTCTCTCACTCTCCCTCCTCTGTCCCCTGCTCCCATATGCAAATATTGAACAGTTTAGTGGCCATATTTTGGGATTTCCATTTTTTTGCTTCTATTTTCCTTTTGTTTTCCCCCTCTGACTTCTAAAATGTAGCCTATAGATTATTTCAAAGGCTGCAGTGTTTTTTTCAGAACAGTGTCCTTTTTTTTTTGCCTGGTATTTCTTATCATAAGGCTATAAACATAAGAGTTAAAGATATTCTTTCAACCAGCCTGTATCTTATTATTTCCTGGTTATGTCATTGCTATCACTATAGAACTATTTCTTAGTGAACTGAAGGCAGGGTAGGATGCCATGTTAGGGGCCCTCTACTTGTGCAGGTAAGGGTACAATGGGATCTAATGCATGATCTACACAGTCGTGAACATGTTGCATGGCAGGAGGCATGATTGTGAGGTTGCTTGTTAGATCCTATCACACCTTATTGCCAGTGCAGGGGAAGCCTGATCCCAAGCTCCCCTTGCACCGAAAAGAAGCAAGCTCCTGTGGTTGGGAGCCCCAGCTCCTGCAATCTCCCAGCCCTGGGGTTTTCAGGCACCCTCAAGGCTGGAAGATGTGACCGTGCCCCATGGCTGCTGGGACCCAGCTGGAGTTTAGGTTATTTTGTCCCTTAAATTCCTGCAGACTGTACAACCAGCTTTTCCAGCTCTGAAACATTCATTGATGGTACCTGATACTGCAGGTATCCTGCTGCTGAAATGTATAAATAGCCTTCTCGTGAATCCAACAATGTATCTTGTTATATAGGCTGATATTGAGAACTTTATGGGTTTTTCTCTTCCTGTCCACCAAGACAAAATATAGCCACTTTTAAGATCAGGACATTTGCCATTCAGCAGAAGGAAGTACAGTTTAGGCAAGTTACTTTTTCACATCTTTCATGGAAGTAAAGCATTTCTGTAGTTCTTCAGTATAGGGTTCACATGACACTTTAATTAACAGTGGCAGATGCAGCCACATCTAAAATGTTCAGTGACCTTGATCTAACTACTGAAAGTTGTACATTTGACAGGTATGACTGGTCTCCTAAAATTACAGTAAAACTTTTCTTAGTAGGAGTGAAACCAGTTAGCCTATAAAAATGCACTCATGTCTCGCTTCAGGGAATAAATTATTCAGTTGTGGGAGTGATGGATACCTCTACCCACCATCTCTGATTTACAGTAAATTTAGAGATGTAGTTAGCTATGTTAGTCTGAAGTCAAGTAGAAGGCAGGGTACATCTGCACCTAACCAAAGCAGATATATAGAAAATAGGTACTACCCTGCCTTCTGTGTTAAATGTATACATTTACTAGGCTTAATCATGGGTCCCATTTATAGTAGAGGTGTGGTGCTGGCTTGGGTGGGTTCTCAGTCCAAGTGTTTTAAGTTAGTATTAACTTAATATAATCCAACTAGATCCTGTTTATCTCTAACTCAAGGATATTATAGTAATGATAACTCCTGAAAAGTTGTAGTCAATGAAAAACATTTACAACCTCCTGGCCTGCAATACATGAGAAATACTTCACAAATCTCTACTGTTACCTGAGAAACCATGACCTTGGATAGAACCAGGAAAACTCCAGGCTACAGACCAGTGTGGTGAGGTACAAACATAGGCCATTGGGGAGGCCATTTTACCTTTTTCCTTCTGGATGCTTGTCTTGGCAGGATAGATGCCTCTGTTTCTGTCTTGCCACTGTGGAATTGCTGCCTGTTGACTTTGATTCTGATCCCAAGGGATTGGAAAAAGAATAAGGTGACAGTTTGGCCTGGATGAGAAGACACTGAATGGGAGACTGGTCACATGGGTGTATTTATGAGACTACAGCCCAGAGGAAGGCAGTCCTGTGAAGAGTAACGGTGGTTTAGTGCTTAGTTTGCTAACCTAGGGTAGCATAGACCTATGCTCAATTCTCTGCCACTTAAAAGATTTCTTATATGATCTCAGATAAGTTGCCTAGCTTCTCTGTTCCTCAGTTCTCCCCCATCTGAATTGGTCTCTTTTGTTTAATGTGAATTTACTTGGGGCCTTCATAGTGTATTTGCCGGTCAGTTCAACTTGGGTCCTCCTTTGAACAATCTGTTGGATGCTGGGCATTTCTCTGTAGCACATCAGCTTTTGAAGAGAGCAAATACCATTTATGTGACATTATTGAAAGTTGACGTACATCCTTGTATATCAGAAGAATAGGTTTGCTTTCTACAGACAAACTTGTATCGAGATACAGAGACTGTGATTTTAAAAATCAACAGTAAACTCCTCGTCCCTCCAGAAAAATGAGCAGGAAAAACTCCAACCTGCTGTGGCTTAGCATTCCTTTATATGGGGATTGGTAATCTTACAGACTACCATGTTGCAAAAGAATACAGGGGAAAAAATCAGTAGTTCAGATGTTCTTGCCAAGCTTGTCAAAGAACATCACTTTCAGGAAACATTATTTGTTCCCTGTTCCTGTTCCTTTCTTCCTTGGCTATTAAGCCAAACCATGCCTGGGGCAAATTGAGGGGAGCTCTGCTTTTGATATCTATTGCATGATACAGTATTTCCGTCCCCCACATCTGAGCTAACATCATTCAGGAAAACCATTATGGAGACTGCTATTGCTGAAGGCTCTTTGATCATGAACACCATTTGCCATGATCAATTATCGAACATGGCTCTGCATGATTATTAGAGACTGTACTTGTTTCTTTGAACTGGATTCTTACCAATCGTGTCTGCCAGGTAGCTTCATTAGTGGAAAGAATTCTCTGTCTTTTTTTAATTTTAATTCATAGATATCTGCCTGTCTATTGTTTGCCTTCTCATTAAGATTCTCATCTCAGCAAAGCAATTAGACATCTGCTTAACTTTAAGCATGTGAGCAATCATGTATCTATTAGAAAACCATAAGCACATGCTTAAATTCCATTGAAAATCAGTCAGCTGTAAGCACTTGCATATGCACTTTATTAAATAAGGATGGGAATTACTCATGTGCCTAAATTAAGCATATGCAGTCTTCCAGATCAGATTGATTTAGTCTATACTCATCATTTAATAGCATCATTGAAATGCTACCTAGTAAAAGAAATCCTTCATAATTTAAGTATTGTAAAATGCAGTTTAAAATCTTTTGTAGAGTATACCCTGAGTTCAGTTTGGGACATAAGAAATAACAAATTTGTGCATTCTTTTAGGACTCTACTAAACAAAGAGACTAAACTCAACTGTATCACCTCTTTGTCCAAACTTTTTTCAGGGTTTCATAGGGTTTTTAAGTAAGAAGCAATTCATATTTCAAGGTGTTGTTTGCCTAGGATCTATGCAACTGCACCCTTCTTGCTGAATGTTGACTCGACAAGCAGCTTCAAATGGTTTTTCATCCTCACTTAATTAATAAAGATAGTCTTGCATGTAAAGAATACTAAGATCACCATTTTTCTTCACCTATCCATGGACTTTTAATAAAAGATACCAAGGAAGTAGGAGAGAATTCTGATTAGAGAAGTGCAAAGAGATTTTAGGGTGGGATCTTCCGTTTATGTGAAACCACAACAATGAAGAACATTTCCTTCTAGAAAATGATTATGTTCTAGGCCAACTCCTTAGCAATGATAAACAGCCACAACTTCATTGATTTCAGCTGAGTAACGAAAATTTCCACAAGCCGAGGAAAATTCCTCGGTTTGTGGAATTCTCTATATTTACTTCTTAAATCAAGTGGGTACAGGTGTCACATATATAGGACTGAGCTATGCAGAAAGAGTGCTGAGAGTTCTGAAAGAATTGACTGATGCCATTGCATAACCCATGGCAAAAATATTTCAAAACTTATGGCATTTGGGAGAGGTTCCAAAATACTGGAAGAGGGGCAATGTGGTGCCTATCTACAAGAAAGTTAGGAAGGAGGAGCCAGGGAATTACAGGCCAGTCAGTTTGATGTCAGTCCCTGGAAAAATCCTGGAAAAAAGTATCAAAGAATCCATTAGCAATA